CAGCAGCAGCACCAACAGCAACAAGAACTGCAGCAGCAACAAAAGCAAGAAGAACAGCAGCAACAAGAACAGCAGCAGCAACAGCAGCAACAGCAGCAACAGGAGGCCATACAATTTATGCTGCTGCTGCTGCTGCAGTGCTGCTTGTGTCTTATGATGAGCAGCAAGACGTCTCTCTATTAGTAGCTGCTCTTGCTGCAGCAGCTGACGGTGGCGCTGCAGCAGACACACAACAATGCATGCAGCAGCAGCAGTGTTACGTACCTGCTGCAGTGCTGCAAGTGTTTGCTGCTGCTGCTCATGATTTTTATTAATTTCTTTTTCTTTCTTTAGGGCATTACGAAGGCTGCAGCAAGAAAAAATACTCATAAACCCTAAACCCTAAACCCTAAACCCTAAACCCTAAACCCATTTAACCTTCTAAATACTTATAGGGTTCCCTAGTACGCCTAAATTAGTGTTTAGGGTTTACGAATTAGGGTTTAGGGTTTAGGGTTTATATACATAAAAAAAGAGATTAATATATAATATTAATTATTATTTTCTGTATAACTATCTAGATATCTATATATGGCCTCTATGGCCTCTAGTGGTGTACGAATTAGGGTTTAGGGTTTAGGGTTTAGGGTTTATATACCTAAAAAAAGAGGTTAATTTATTATATTTATTTCCTCCTCCTCTTATGACGCCATTAGCAAAGGAAACACAACCACTAAGATCTACACAATCATAACCTATACATAAATAAATAAATAAATAAATAAATAAATAAATAAATAAATAAATAAATAAATAAATAAATAAATAAATTAATTATAAAGATAAAGACACAACCCCACCCCAATAAACAGAAAAAAAACAGCAACAACAGCAGCAGCAACAGCAACAGCAGCAGCAGCAACAGCAGCAGCAGCAACAGCAGCAACACCAGCAGCAGCAGCAGCAGCAAATAACTAACCAATATTATTTAATATATTTACTTCTTGTGAATGAATAGAAGGAACAAGAAGAGAAAAATTAAATATTGAGTGTATATACACCTCAATTGCTGCTGCATGCGCTCCTGCTTCCTGCTGCAGTATCTCTATACACTGCAATAAATACATAAATAAATATATAAATAAATAAATAAATATATTAATTAATTAATTAATTAATTAATAATAAATGAATAAATAAATATACACAAAAAAAGGGAAAGAATAGACAAATACGCAAATGCTGCAGCAGATACAAAAATAGCAACAGCAGCAGCAGCAACAGCAGCAGCAGCAGCAGCAACAGCAACAGCAGCAGCAGCAGAAGTTTACATCAGTGAGTGGCATTGCTGCTCCTTCATCAAGAAGTTGCTGTGCTTGCTGCTGCATTTGCTGCAGTCTTTGCTGCCTTTTTTGCTGCTGCTGCTGCTGCTGCTGCATAACTTCCTTAAGAGGTACAATAGATATGCAGCAGCGGCGCTGCAGCAGCAAACCACCATTCTCCTGCTGCTGCTGCTGCTTCTGCTGCTTCTGCTGCTGCTGCTGCTGCTGCTGCTGCTGCTGCTTAAGACGAGCAATTGCCTCTAATGCTGTTGCTGCATCCTCAACAACAAATTGAAATAAACAAAACCCTCCTATTGCCTCAATAGCATTTATATACTCCGCCTCTACCTGTACACATAAACCCTAAACCCTAAACCCTAAACCCTAAACCCTAAACCCTAAACCCTAAACCCTAAAAAACGCTTTATAGCCATTCATTGGATAGATAATTTGTTGCTCTTTTCCCTGCTGCTGTTGCTGCTGTTGCTGCTGCTGCTGCTGCTGCTGGTGGTGGTGGTATTAAATATAAACCCTTAATTAGGGTTTAGGGTTTATATTAACCTGTATAAAAGAAGAAAGAGGTGCAGCAATTGTCCATCCTTCTGCTGCTGCTATTTGCTGCAGATGATCTAAACTCCAAACCCTCCATGGCATTAAACAACGAGATAAATTATCTATAAATAAATTAATAAATAAATAAATAAATAAATAAATAAATAAATATAAATAAATAAATACATAAAAATAATATACTAAGAGGGAGAAAAAAGGAAAAAAAAAGGTTTTATAGGCAAAGAGAGACACATAATCCTACTGCTGCTGCTGCTGCTGCTGCTGCTGCTGCTGCTGTTGCTGTTGCTGCTGTTGCTGCTGTTGCTGCTTACCTGTTGCTGCTCGTACATCTGCTGCTGCTGCAGTTCGCTGCTGCAGCAAACTAGACAGCACTGCTTGCTGCTGCCGCACTTCCTCTACTATTTCTTCTAGAGGCTGCAGCACAAACCCTAAACCCTAAACCCTAAACCCTAGACCCTAGAAACCCTAAACCCTAGTAGGCTCCAACTATTACTTGGCAAAGGGGACTTATTATGGTGTCTTATGTACCCCTAACAAATTAGGGTTTAGGGTTTAGGGTTTAGGGTTTAGGGTTTAGGGTTTCTAACCGTTTTAAGTTTAGCTATCTCTGTTGATGCTTCCTCCAT